AGGATTTTTTTTTGTAATAAATAAACACATTGCATTTTAAACAAGAATCTTAACTTTTAAAAATACAATTAAGGAGACCTAGAGTTTTTTGAAGGCAGAGGAGGAGCAGCTTGTCACTTTATTAGTTGATTTGACTTCTTATTCGTTCCTGAGGAACCTTGTGACAGTACTGGTATATCTACCTATTATGGTGGAAACTCTTCATCCCTGGACATATGTATTCTCAAAGTACAGCTCCCCATGAAAAGATACTATGGTCAGTAAGAAAGAAACTCAAGGTCTGTTAAGGGGGAAAGTGGGACGTTGACGTTACTTTATCTATAATGGGTGAGATGATTAAGGGTTCTGTAGGCTATCAATCCATTCAGCACTGGTAGTTAATTCAGTTAGGGTCTCAAATTGGAGGCAAATGAAAATACTTTTTCTGTTTTAACTCAATTATTCGTGTTGCCTGCTGGGCATGTCTAATTGCCTTCACAAAATTCTGTCATCACTACCTTCTTTTCCTGTAACTCCAGACTTTTAAGATGTTTTTTTCTGGATTTAGTCCAGTGGCAGTTATTCTCAAGGTATCTCAAAAACCTACCTTGAACAGTACATATATAAGTTTCTCTCTTTATTGAACAATGTGTTAACTTAAAAGTAGATGACCTGTTTTTTTGTGTTTGAGATGGAGTCTTGCTCTGTTACCCAGGCTGGAGTGCAGTGGCGCGATCTCAGCTCACTGCAGCCTCAGCCTCCTGGGTTCAAGCCGATTTTTGTATTTTTAGTAGAGACAAGGTTTCACCGTGTTGGCCAGGCTGGTCTCGAACTCCTGACCTCAAGTGACCTGCCTTTCTCTGCCTCCCAAAGTGCTGAGATTACAGACCTGAGCCACCACACCCAGCTGATGACCTGTATTATTAATTCTGTGCTGCTAGCCTCTGCTTATGTAATTAAAAGCATTTTTAAGTTCATTTCATGAATTAGTAGACATGGCTTTTGAGAGAGTTAAATGTGAATATTCTCTTTGCCATCAGGACAAAGCAGGACCTCATAAGGAAATCTACCCATATGTCATCCAGGAACTTAGACCAACTTTAAATGAACTGGGAATCTCCACTCCAGAGGAACTGGGCCTTGACAAAGTGTAAATCCCATGGGTAAGCAACAAGTCACTGAAGAAGATAGGAAAACAATCTGGAGAGGTGTGGGTGGATGACATTTCAGTGTACCAGAGTAAGACCTTTCAGTGTTCTTGTAAGAGGTAATGGCCATGAGCATGAAGAGATTTTGAGAATACCAGTAATGGTAAATTTAAAAACTGAAATTATTTCCAGCCATTATCATTAGTAGTAGTAGCAGTATTTTGAGACGGAATCTTGCTCTGTTGCTCAGGCTGGAGTGCAATGGCAACGTCTCCCAACGTTCAAGCAATTCTCCTGCCTCAGCCTTCTGAGTGAGTAGCTGGGACTACAGGTGCGTGCCACCACACCCAGCTAATTTTTGTATGTTTAGTAGAGACAGGGTCTCGTCATGTTAGCCAGGCTGGTCTCAAACCCCTGACCTCCTGATCCGCCCACCTTGGCCTCTCAAAATGCCAGGATTACAGGCATGAGCCACCATGCCCAGCATCTTTTTTTTTTTTTGGAGATGAAGTTTTGTTCTTGCTGCCCAGACTGGAGTGCAATGGCTCCGTCTTGGCTCACTGCAACCTCCACCTCCTGGGTTCAAGCAATTCTCCTGCCTCAGCCTCCTAAGTAGCTGGGATTACAGGCATATGCTACCACACCTGGGTGATTTTGTATTTTTAGTAGAGACAGTGTTTCTCCATGTTGGTCAGGTGGGTCTCACGCCTTGACCTCCCAAAGTGCTGGGATTACAGGCCACCTTGCCCAGCCCTGGCATCATTTTCTTACTGGTATAAAGGCAAATAAAAGCCTCCTTAAGTAAAGAAAAAAATATATTTTAGGCATAACAGTAGCATAGATGGTAATGTACTGAGCCTGTATACACATAGCCAGATTGTCAGGTAGTTTTATTTTTGCCACATGTGCTTTGGTGTTTTAAAAAAATTTCTATTTGGGCCAGGCACAGTGGCTCACACCTGTAATCCCAGCACTTTGGGAGGCCAAGGTGGGTAGATCTGTTGAGGTCAGGAATTTGAGATCAGCTTGGCCAACATAGTGAAACCCCATCACTACTAAAAATACAAAAGTTAGCCAGGCGTGGTGGCTCGGGCCTGTGCTCCCCGCTACTCAGGAGGCTGAGGCAGGAGAATCACTTGAACCTGGGAAGCGGAGGTTGCAGTGACCTGAGATCACACCACCGCACTCTAGCCTACGTGACAGAGCGAGACTCCATCTCAAAAAAAAAAAAAAAAGAAGAAGCTAATATCAGATTTCTTACAAGAACAAGTGAGCCTGATTAGGTTTTTTTTGTTGTTGTTTTGTTTTGAGACGGAGTCTTGTACTGTTGCCTGGGCTGGAGCGCAGTGGTGATCGCGGCTCACCATAAGCTCCGCCTCCTGGGTTCAAGTGATTTTCCTGCCTCAGGCTCCTGAATGGCTGGGATTACAAGTGGGTGCCATGATGCTCAGCTAATTTTTTTGTATTTTTAGTAGCAATGGGGTTTCACTGTGTTGGCCAGGCTGGTCTCGAACTCCTGACCTTGTGATCCGCCCACCTCGGCCTCCCAAAGTGCTGGAATTATAGGCATGAGCCACCATGCCTGGCCCTGATTAGGATATTGTTAGTAAATACCTATTGAAACTTTTTTTTTTTTTTTTTTTGAGACGGAGTTTCACTCTTTTTACCCAGTTGCTGGAGTGCAATGGTGCGATCTCGGCTCACTGCAACTTCCGTCTCCTGGATTCAAGCAGTTCTCATGTTGACCAGGATGGTCTTGACCTTGTGATCCACCCGTCTTGGCCTCCCAAAGTGCTGGGATTATAGGCGTGAGCCACCGTGCCCGGCCCTGAAACATTTTTTTAAAAGAAGACTCAGAACTTGGCCAGGAACAGTGGCTCACGCCTGTGAGCCCAGCACTTTGGGAGGCCCAGGTGGGTGGATCACCTGGACCTCAGGTAATCCACCTGCCTTGGCCTCTCAAAGTGCTGGGATCACAGGCGTGAGCCACCGTGTCTGGCCATGTGTTTTAGTTTTCATTTTATCAAGTATTATTCCAAGATGTCCATAAGATTTTTGTTACATAGGATGTATTCTAGCTAATTTTTTTTTAAGAGACAGTCTTGCTCTGTTGCCCAGGCTGGAGTGCAATGAAGCAATCTCAGCTCACTGCAACCTCAGCCTCCCAGGTTTAAGTGATTCTAGTGCCTCAGCCTCCCAAGTAGCTGGGACCGCAGGCATGCGCCACCACACGTGGCTAATTTTTTGTAGTTTAGTGAAGACAGAGTTTCACCATGTTGCCCAGTAGTCTTGAACTCCTGACCTCAGGCAGTCCCCTGGCCTCAGCCTCCCAGAGTGCTAGGATTATAGGTGTGAGCCACTGCACTGGGCCCAAAACAAGTATTTTTAAGAAATGGCAACTACTGAACACTTTTCTGTTTGGGAAGGAAGTACCAGTGGTATAAACAAACAACAAAAAAGCCACAAAACTGGTCCCTTGTGGGTTGACAGTAGGAAGGATTAAGTAAGAACAGTAAAGGGTACAGAGAGACAGTGATTTTCCTGTTTGTAGCTCTAACCGGTTTTTTTGTTTTTTTGAGATGGAGTCTCACTCTGTCGCCAGGATTGAGTGCAGTGGTGTGATCTCAGCTCACTGCAACCTCCACCTCCCAGGTTTAAGCGAGTCTCCTGCCTCATCCTCCTACCTCCTGAGTAGCTGGTATTAGAGACATGCAGTGCTACACCCAGCTAATTTTTTTTATTTTCCGTAGAGACGGGATTTCACCTTATTGGCCAGGATGGTCTCAATCTCCTGACTCATGATCCGCCCACCTCAACCTTCCAAAGTGCTGGGATTACAGGCATGAGCCACTGCACCCAGCCGGTTATTGTTAAAAGATTCTGGCTGGGTGCAGTGGTTCACACCTGTAATCCCAGCACTTTGGGAGGCTGAGGTGGGCAGATCATTTGAGGTCAGGAGTTCGACACCAGCCTAGCCAACATGATAAAACCCCATCTCTACTAAAAATACAAAAAGTTAGCTGGGCGTAGTGCTGCATGTCTGTAATCCCAGCTACTCAGGAGGCTCAGGCAGCAGAATCGCTTGAACCTGGGAGGTGGAGGTTGCAGTGAGTGGAGATGGTACCACTGTATTCCAGCCGGGATAACAGAGTAAGACTCCATCTTAAAAAAAAAAAAACGAAAGAAAAACAAGATTTCTACCTTTTATTCTTTCCCAGCTAATTCTTTGTGTTTTCTTTTACAGATGGGCTTCCCAAGGATTTATTGATATTGCTACTTGAGTGTAAACAGTCACCTGGAAATACTGATGATAACATATTACCTTATTTGAACAAGTTTTCCTTTATTGAGTACCAAGCCAGTAATGGTAACCTGTACTTTAATAAAAGGGAAATGAGTTTGAACTTAAATTAGGTATTTGTTTCATGTTTTGCCTTCATAAGCAGAAAATTAAGTGCTTTATTGCTTGCATAGTTTTGTTGCCCTCTTCTATGCTGAGAGAACTACGTTAATTCTCTGGAAACCTTCTGACATGAAAATTAGCTTCATTAATATGTTTGAGTGCCCTAGCTGGTAAATTAGCTGCACGCTAGAAGTCATTTATATAGAATTTTCTTTATGACACCCTAGGCTTAGGGGACTGGTTATCTGTGGGGATAGATCAAATTGTACCTTTCCAAAACAGGTGAAATGACATTTAACAGTGGTTGCTGAGATAGTCTTGAGGATGTGCTATGCAGTAGGTAAGCCCTCTTATGGTCTTCGTCTCTTAGTGCTCCTTTCCTTCCCTACCTGTTCTTCCCTTGCAGTGGTATATTAGCCTTGGACATTAAAACATTTGCTTTGTAAATTTGGAGGCATTCTGATTAAACAGCTGAGTAGAACAAATCCTGCTTGTGTTAGAAGCGCCGTAATACTAGAACCAGCTGCTGGATAAAGAGGTTCTTAGCCAGGCGTGGTGACTCATGCTTGTAATCCCAGCACTTTGGGAGGCTGGGGCTTGGTACTCAATAAAGGGTGAATCACGAGTTCAGGAGTTCAAGATGAGCCTGGCTATGGTGATGAAATCCCGTCTTTACTAAAAATACAAAAAATTTAGCCAGACGTGGTGGTGGGCGCCCGTAGTCCCAGCTACCTGGGAGGTTGAGGCAGAGGATTACTTGAACCTGGGAGGTGGAGACTGCAGTGAGCTGAGATTGCACCACTGCACACCAGCCTGGGCAACAGAGCAAGACTCTGTCTAAAAAAAACTGGCTGGGCGCAGTGGCTCACACCTGTAATCCCAGCACTTTGGGAGGCCAAGGCAAGTGGATCACCTGAGGTTGGGAGTTTGAGACCAGCCTAACAAACATGGAGAAACCTCGTCTCTACTAAAAGCACAAAATTAGTTGGGCGTGGTGGCACATCCTGTAATCCCAGCTACTTGGGAGGCTGAGGCAGGAGAATCAATTGAACCTGGGAGGCGGAGGTTGGGGTGAGCTGAGATCATGCCACTGCACTCCAGCCTGGGCAACAAGAGTGAAACTCCGTCTCAAAAGACAAAACAGGTTCTAGATCTGGGTGATTTCTAGTATAGCCAGTTCACATTGCAGTATCAGGGAAATCGGGTTAATATTAGGTTAAAATTTAGATGTCTTCTCTCCTAGAGCCATGTAAGGGATTGTTATTAAAATCAGTTTTGGTGAAGTTCTAATACTAGTGAGACCTTTTATAAAGGCTGATTCCCTACCAGAAAACCCCCTGCCCAGTTTTTAAGAAGTAGAAATGTGAAATAAACTAAAATGGCACATATGTTTAATGTATAGTTGGTAGGCTGTGTGGGCTAGTGCTTTCCTCCTCACTGCAAAATGAGTAAAATGGTCTCTGTTCTTTATGTCATGGGAGGAGCAGAGGAAGGAACATAGGTTCACAGTTATCTATGAGGGTGAGGTAAGTTCTGTGATAGTAAAAATTTATCAAACACCTACTGTATATCAAACATGCCAGGCACTGAGGATAGAGCAATGAACAGGAAAGACAGTGAATATTGGAAACTGGAGACACTGGAGGTAGGGATAAAAGTTAGGCAGTTGTACAGTGTGGTTATAACTTAGGATTTTGAATTACAGTGGTAGCCATAGAAATGGAAAGGGATGAATTTTGAGAATCACATTATTGAGGTGTAGTTGATTAATTGATGAGGGGAAATGAACTTTGGGAAGGCCATTCTGAGATTCGAATGGTGATGCCATTCATATAGGAGTCAGTAAAAGAGGAGCTCGGCACAGAGTGGAGAAATGGCTACATTTGATTCTGGTTCTTAAATTTCAGGCTTCAGTAGGCAAGTTAGGCCAAGAGCTCTGAAAAGAGACTGAGACTAGAGAAAAGAGTTTAAGGTTTGAAGCAGCAAAAAGTGAGACTTCCAAGGAGGCTGTTTGGAAGCAGATGTAACTAGGTTGAAGGCTAAAATTGTGGAAGCAGGTACATCTAGAGGGAAAAAAAGAGAACAACTTTAGTAAGGTATAACTTACATGTAGCCAAGTATGCAAATCTTAAAGTATGTAGCTTGAGATTTTACATGTGTATACCTGTGATATGCTGAATGGAGGACTTTTAAGAGCCATTTTTGTGAGGATTAAATGACACTAAGTGAAGCTAGTAAGCATATACAGATGCTCGACAATTTTTTTTTTTTTGAAACAGAGTCTCACTCTGTTACCCAGGCTGGAGCGCAGTGGTGCAATCTTGGCTCACTGCAACCTCCGCCTCCCAGGTTCAAGCAATTTTCATGCCTCAGCCTCCCTAGTAGCTGGGATTACAGGCATACGCCACCACGTCCGGCTAATTTTTGTATTTTTAGTAGAGACCGGGTTTCACCATGTTGGCCAAGCTGGTATCGAACGCCTGACCTCAGGTGATCATATGCCTCGGCCTTCCAAAGTGCAGGGATTGTAGGCATGAACCACCACACCCAACCAGATGCTCAGCAGATTTTAGTTTCTTAGCCAGGTATTCGTGGGCAGTTGAGGTCAAACTGCAGAAGGCAAAGGGGAGATCTTAGGCAATGAGGGTGATTCGAAAGATGGCAAGGGTTGAAGGCACTGGCCTTTCTTGTAGAAGCAGAAGATTTAGTATGTAGCTGGATAGAACTAGTAGATGGAAAGTGATTATTGTTGCCTTTGCATCTTTTTTTTTTTTTTTTTTAATGTATTTTTGTTTTGTTTTGAGACAGTCTTGCTCTGTCACCTAGGCTGGAGTGCAGTGACGCGATCATGGCTCACTGTAGCCTTGACTTCCCAGATTCCAGCAGTCCTTCCACCTCAGCCTCTGGAGTAGCTGGGACCACAGGCGTGCACCACCATACCCGACTGATTTTTGTGGTTTTGGTCTCATGTTGCCCAGGCTGCTGTCAGATTCCTGAGTTCAAGCTACCTGCCTGTCGTGGCTTCCCAGAGTGCTAGGATTACAGGCATGAACCACCACACACAGCCTCCTTTGTATCTTAGGTAAGGTTGAGATTTCAAAGTTTTGTTTAACCTAAGTCAGTCATCTATACCCTTAGAAAGAGATGGGCACTCTGGTAAGTATTTTGTACATGCTGACTTTTAAATCCCTTAAAGGTTGTTACAGCTGCTCTTTAGACCGCAAAAATAAGCCTTATCTTTGGATCACCTGAGGTCGAGTTCGAGACCAGCCTGGCCAACATGATGAAACCCTATCTCTACTAAAAATACAAAATTATCCAGGCATGATGGTGCAGGCCAATAGTCACAGGTAATCAGGAGGCTGAGGCAGGACAGTCACTTGAACCCAGGAGGCGGAGTTTGCAGTGAGCCGAGATCTTGCCATTGCACTCCAGCCTGGGTGACAGCAGGACTCCATCCCCCCCAAAAAAAGCCCTCTTTTTTTTTTTTTGAGACGGAGTTTCACTCTTGTTACCCAGGCTGGAGTGCAATGGTGCGATAGTGGCTCACCGCAACCTCCTCCTCCTGGGTTCAAGCAATTCTCCTGCCTCAGCCTCCCAGGTAGCTGGGACTACAGGCGTGTGCCACCACGCCCAGCTAATTTTTTTTGTATTTTTAGTAGAGAGGGGGTTTCACCATGTTGACCAGGATGGTCTCGATCTCTTGACCTAGTGATCCACCTGCCTCGGCCTCCCAAAGTTCTGGGATTATAGGCATGAGCCACCGTGCCTGGCCCAGCCCTCTCTTTTAGCTTGAGTGCTCACATTATGTATTTCCTTTGTCTCTAAGAAGGGATGGGCAAACACAGCCTATGGGCCAAATTTGGCCCACTGCCTGTTTTTTTACTACCTGCAACCTATATGTTGCCCAGGCTGATCTCAAACTCCTAACCTCAGGCTATCCTCTAGCCTCCCAAGTAGCTGGGATTACAGGCATAAGTCATTGCACTCTGCTCTAGGAATTTTGTTTGTGGTGGGAGTTTTTTTTTTTTTGAGATGCAGTTTCACTCTTGTTGCCCAGGCTGGAGTGCAACGGCTCCATCTGGGCTCACTGCAACCTCCCCCTTCCAGGTTCAAGTGATTCTCCCGTCTCAGCCTCTCAAGTAGCTGGTATTACAGGGACCCGCCACCACTCTTGGCTAATTTTTTGTATTTTTAGCAGAGATGGGGTTTCACCATGTTGGCCAGGCTGATCTTGAACTCCTGGCCTCAAGTGATCCACCTCCCAAAGTGCTGGGATTACAAGCATGAGCCACCGCACCTGGCCTGCTCTAGGAATTTTTACTTTTTTTTTTTTTTTTTCTTGAGACAGGGCCTTGCTCTGTCACCCATGCTGGAGTGCTGGAGTACAGTGGTGCAATATCGGCACACTGCCACCCCACTCCTGGGCTCAAGCAATCCTTCCTCCTCAGCCTCCTGAGGAGCTGGTACTACAGGTGCATGCTACCACACCCAGCTAATTTTTGTATTTTTTTTGTAGAGCATATTGCCCAGGTCAATATGTTTTTAAATGTTGGAAAATCCACAAAAAATATTTCATAATATATAAAAACTGCATGAAATTTAGAATATGGTGTCCATAAATAAGGTTTTATTGGAACACGGTCACACTCATTCATTTACATTTTATCTGTGGCTTCTTTTTTTGAGACAGAGTCTTGGTCTGTTGCCAGGCTGGAGTGCAGTGGCGTGATCTCGGCTCACTGCAACTTCCACCTCCTGGGTTCAGGCAATTCTCCTGCCTCAGCCTCCTGAGTAGCTGGGATTACAGGCACGAACCACCACACCCAGCTAATTTTTTTGTATTTTTAGTAGAGGCAGGGTTTCACCACGTTGGCCAGGATTGTCTGGATCTCCTGACCTCGTCATCCTCTTGTCTCTGCCTCCCAAAGTGCTGTGATTACAGGCGTGAACCACTGCGCCTGGCTTTTTTTCTTTTTAATAAATTATGGTAAGATCATATATAAAGTTGATCATCTTGACCAGTTTGGAGTTTGCAGTTGCATGGCATTAGGTACAGTCAACATTGTATATTGTCTGTGGCTGTTTTTGCATTAAAATGGCAGAGTGAATAGTTAGCCTGGAGATTACATGGTCCACAAAGTCAAAAGTACTTGCTATTTGTCTGTTTACAGGAAGTTTGCCCACCCTTAATCTAAAATCAGAGAAATAATTTTCAAAACATGTAAACTGATAAAAATCACTAGGAGGCAAAAGTGACTAGATAAATTCAGTCTACTGGTGAATGTGTCTCATCAGATTTTGTTTCTGCTTCCTTCCCCCTCACACACACACCCATTAGGTAAATTGAATCAATTCTTTAGCTGTGTTGGAGAAAGTAGGTACATCTTGGTCGGGCGTGTTGGCTTATGCCTGTAATCCAGCACTTTGGGAGGCCAAGGTGGGTGGATCACCTGAAGTCAGAAGTTCGAGACCAGCCTGGCCAACATGGTGAAACCCTGTCTCTACTAAAAAAAATAGAAAAAATTAGCTGGGCATGGTGGCAGGCACCTATAATCCCAGCTACTCGGGAGGCTGAGGCAGGAGAATTGCTTGAATCTGGGAGGCCAAGGTTGCAGTAAACCAATATCATGCTGTTGCATTCCAGCCCGGGCAACAGTGTGAGACTCCATCTCAAAAAAAAAAAAAAAAGTAGTAGATACTAAGTATGAGGATCCTTCTACGGCTTCACCTGGTTGGACAGGGCTTCTACCCTACCAGGATGGGGTCTCTAGCCTTTTGGTTTCCTACATTTTGTTTTAATAAATTTCAAAGCAATTAATAGTTTGTCACATTTGTTTGTATGTTATATATCTACACACATCACTTCACCCCTGAACACTTCAGCAAAAACTGAGAAAAAGGACTTTTGCCTCCTACATAAACACAATTCTGTTCTATTTCAATACGTTTAGCATCAAATACATACAGTTTATATTTCTGAAGAGTCCAGACCAGTTGTATTGTAGAATGTCCTATAATCTGCATGTGTCTGTTTTCTAAGTATTAAAATCTAGCTAAACATTTTTGGCAAAAATATGTGAAATTCCGAGAGTATCCCCTCAGGGGGGACATGAAGTCAGTTTGTCTTTGTGTCTTTTTATGACATATGCCTACCAGCTGATAGAAGGCAGCATAATGTAGCAGTAAAATGAGAAATGGGGTTTGGATTCAGACTCGTGTTCAAACCCCAGACTACTATGTAACAGCCATATGACTGTATTAGTTGCCCACCCTTCCTGTGGCTTTGGTTTCCTTATCTGAAAATGGGAGCTACCTTACAGGGACATAACAAGAACGAACGCTTAGCAGATTATGTCCTATTTGTTAACAATCATTTTGGTTGTGCTTGGGAAAATGGCTTAAGCCTAGCCATTGTCTTCTAAGCTTTGCTAACTCTCGTTGCAGTTTTTCCTGGCTGTTTGTTTAACTGGATGACACAGAGCTTGTCCTTTTTTTTTTTTTTTTTTTCAATTAGGAAAGCAGAATGTCCTTCATGCTCTTAGTCTGTAGTCACATCTTGCAGTAGCATTGTTGAGTTTGCTGTTTTCCTGCATTGTAGAAGTTTGATTGAACACCAAAAGTGAGATGTCTCTGTGCTGGGCTTGGCCCTTGTCTTAACCGGTTGAGTATGTTGCTGTAAAGGGATACCCGAGGCTGGGTCATTTATAAAGTCAAGAGGCCAAGCACAGTAGCTCATGCCTGTAATCCCAGGGCTTTGGGAGGCCAAGGCAGGAGGATTGCTTTAGGTTAGGAGTTTGAGACCAGTCTGGGCAACATAGACCCCCATATCTACAAAAAAAAATTTTAAATTAGCCGAGTACAGTGTTAGGCACCCAACTACTCAGAAAGGTGAGATGGGATGATTGCTTGGGCTCAGGGGTTCAAGGATACAGTGAGGCTATGATCACAACACTGCATTCCAGCTTGGGCAACAGGGCAAGACCCCATCTCTTAACAACAAAAAAAGTTTTATTAGCTCACAGTTCTTTGGCTATACAAGAAGCATGGAACTGGCATCTACTTAGCTTCTGGTGAGGGCCTCAGGCTGCTTCCACTCATGGCTGAAGGCAGAGTGGGGCAAGCTTGAGCAGAAATCCCTTGATGAGAGGAAGCAAGAGGAAGGGGAGATACCAGCCTCTTTAATAAACCGCTGTCTTAAGATGATGGGGCCACCTTTTCCTGGCCAGTTCATTTCCTTGACCTATTCTGAATCCACCAAGGCCCTGAATCTCTGTTCCACCTCCTCCTCTGCCTCCCCCTACACCCTATCGACAAAGTGGTCACTCCTTTCTGAAGAACAGACTGAGACTTTTCTGGGCCCTGCTCTTTCTGGAGCCTCTGATGGTGCCTGTCTGGGTCTCCACATGCCTCCTTCCTCGCTCTTCTTCCTATTGAGGAATCAGCTTCAGTGTCACCTCCAAGTGTGACCTTCACTGACAACACAGCTCAGCACAGACCTACCTGCTTCTCATCTATCTCAAGGAATTAACCCGCCTACACCATGTGGCTGAATTCCCTCTCTCTTTCACTCTCAGCACATATGTGTGTGTGTGTGTGTGTGGTCACATCATCTTATGTGACAATACCTAGTTATATATCTGCAGATAATTTATATTCACACATAAATATATATCCCTACCCATACATCTAAGACTATCCCTATGACTATTAAGTTTTCACTGCAATGCTTTTTATATGTTATTTGTCTCCTCAGCTAAATCCATACTTCAAGAAAGCAGAGATTGTTTTTGTTTGTTTGTTTTGAGTTGGAGTCTCCTGTTGCTCGGCTGGAGTGCGGTGGCACGATCTCAGCTCGCTGCAGCTTCCGCCTTCCAGGTTCAAGTGATTCTCCTGCCTCAGCCTCCTGAGTAGCTGGGATTACAGCACGTGCCACCATGCCCAGCTAATTTTTGTATTTTTAGTAAAAATGGGGTTTCACCACGTTAGCAAGGATGGTCTTGATCTCTTGTCCTCGTGATCCACCTACCTCAGCTTTCCAAAGTGCCAGGATTACAGGCATGAGTCACTGTGTCCAGCTGAAAGCAGAAATAGTTTTTATGGCCCACTATATATATATAAAATTGATATTTTTAAAACCCTAGCTCTCTCAGGAACTAATAGAGTAAGAACTTACCCACCTTCAGAGAGGGTATTAATGTATTCGTGAGGGGTCCACCCCATGACCCAAATACCACCTATTAGGCCCCACCTCCAACACTGGGGATCAAATTTAAACATGAGGTTTGGTGGGGGCAAAGAAACTATACGTAAACCACAGCAGCTCTCCACCGATAGGGCCATACCTTGCATGTAACTAATGTGAGGACAAAGGTGGGGCTGGTGACCTAGGAACCCAGAAGGACTTGCAGATTTGTAGGTTCCATCTGTCAGTTATCTGTGCTCTACCAGTAATGAGAGAAGTTCCTTGGGCTAGAGGCCACAACCTGGTGAGACTGGCTTCTGAGATGAGAAGAGAGCTTAAAAGGGAAGGAGCAGGATTTAAAAAAAAAATCACCATTTTCCATCCGTTTTAATGTTTAACTCCAGATACTTGGCGGATGTAAAGGAGTTCAGCTCCAGCGAACAGCAGAACTAGAATTCTCAACTAATGACAGAGATGTATCTGTCCCAGGGCCAAGAAAGTTTAGGGAATAGGTGGGATTCCTATGATTTAGAGCCAAGGATAAAGAGTAACTGCCCAAGAGGGTTCCAGAAGCCAGGGTACTAGTCCTTGCTCCCAACAGCCAATAATCTCTCCCCAAGGATTCACCACCCCCCAGTAACAAAGGAACAAGACTGGGAACTGGGAGATGCCTTGTTTGTCATCATTAGGTTTGCAGAACCCAGCTTAGCACCTCCAATGAATAAAGGTGAATAAAGCTATGCTGAATGGAGGAGCTGAGGAGCCCCAGGCCAGAGGGCAGCCAGCACAAGCACTGGGTTGAGGTCTGAGTAGCAGGGGCAAGGAAGAGGGGCTTTGTGCCCTTTCTGTTGTGGCAATTCTTATTCTGGAGCCTCATCCCCTTACAACATAGAGTTGGTTGGGTTTTGTGTGTGTGTGTGTGTATGTGGGGGAGGTATTTATTTTTCTCAGGTTCCTAGTGAACATAATTTCTTTTTTTAAATTACAAGTTATTTATTTTTTGAGACAGTGTCTCACTATCATCTATGCTGCAGTGCAGTGGTGTGATCACAGCTCACTGCAGCTCCACCTCCTGTCAGATCAGCCTCAACCTCCTGGGCTCAGGTGATCCTCCCACCTCAGACTCCCAAGTAGCTGGGACCACAGGTGCACACCACCATGCCAAGCTAATTTTTCTATTTTTTATGGAGACGGGGCTTCGACATGTTGCCCAGGCTGCCCTTGAATCCACTCGCCTTGGTCTCTTAAAGTGCTGGGATGACAGGCACGAGTCCTAGTGAACATAATTTCCTACGTGGAAAAGGGAACTGCCCACATCCAGGCCAGGATCTCGCAAGATCACAATTTCATTAATGAATTTAAACTATATAATCTCTAAGATCTCTTCCAGCCTGAAGTTCTATGATCCTAGTGAACTAAAAGTTCAGAGGGGAAATAGAATATTGGTTTTTTTCTTTTCTTTTTTTTTTTTTTTTTTTGAGATGGGGTCTCACTCTGTCACGCAGGCTGTATTGTAGAATGTCCTATAATCTGCATGTGTCTGTTTTCTAAGTATTAAAATCTAGCTAAACATTTTTGGCAAAAATAAGTGAAATTCCGATAGTATCCCCTCAGGAGGGACATGATGTCAGTTTGTCCTCGTGTCTTTTTCTGACATATGCCTACCAGCTGATGGAAGTTAGCATAATGTAGCAGTAAGATGAGAAATGGGGTTTGGATTCAGACTCGTGTTCAAATCCCAGACTACTATGTAAGTGGTGCAGTGGTGCGATCTCGGCTCACTGCAACCTCCCCCTCCCAGGTTCAAGTGATTGTTCCACTTCAGCCTCCTGAGTAGCTGGGATTATAGATGTGCGCCACCACATGTGGCTAATTTTTGTATTTTTGGTAGAGATGGGATTTCACCATGTTGGCCAGGCTGGTCTTGAACTCTGGACCTGAAATGATCGACCCACCTTGGCCTCCCAGAGTGCTGGGATTACAGGCTCGTGAGCCACCGCACCTGACTAGAAATAGGATATTAATTCAACAAATATTTATTACTATAACCTTATGTTAAAAAGTGAATAAGGCAGTCTGTCCTTGGGGAGTGTAAAGTCAAATGAGAAAATGAACACTAAATCCTTGTAATACCTTGTAAGTTGTGTAAATAATAGCATACGTTTCTTGAACACTTACTATATGTTAGGTGCCATTCTAAACATTTTACAACTGAACTTCACAATTCCACTTCCATTAGATAGGTGCTCTTATCTCCACTTGGCTTGAGAAACAGACATAAAGAGGTTTAATAATTTACCAGTAGGTGACAGAGCAAGTAATTTTGCTTCAGGGTCTATGTTCAATCACTAACAATTAACAGCAGTATTGACGGAAGATTGGAAGGAGTGTGCATGAAGCCTCTCATATTTGTGCTACAAGTTCTTAGTGATTTTGTGACATTAAGTGGGTTTAGGTCAGGGATCCCCATGCCCCAGGCCATGGACAGATACTGGTCCATGAGCAAGCGAAGCTTCATCAGTATTTACAGCAGCTCCCCATCGCTCACATTACCACTTGAGCTCAGCCTCCTGTCAGATCAGCCTTGACATTAGATTCTCAGCATGAACCCTATTGTGAACGTCACATTCAAGGGATCTAGTTTGTGGGCTCCTTATGAGAATCTAATGCCTGATCATCTGTCATTGTCTCCCATCACCCCCAGATGGGACTAGTTGCAGGAAAGCAAGCCTGAGGCTCCCACTGATTCTAAGTTATGATGAGTTGTATAATTATTTCATTATATATTGTAATGTAATAATAAAGTGCACAATATGGCCGGGTGCATTGGCTCATGCCTATAATCCCAGCACTTTGGGAGACTGAGACAGGTCGATCGTCTCAGGAGATGGAGACTATCCTGGCTAAAACGGTGAAACCCCTTCTCTACTAAAAATACAAAAAATTAGCCGGGTGTGGTGGCAGGTGCCTGTAATCCCAGCTGCTCAGGAGGCTGAAGCAAGAGAATCACTTGAACCCAGGAGGCAGAGGTTGCAGTGAGCTAAATTCGCACCACCACACTCCAGCCTGGGCGACAGAGTGAGACTCCATCTCAAAAAAAAAAAAAAGTGCACAGTAAATGTGATGTGCTTGCATCATCCCGAAACCACCCACCATGTCTCCACCCTGTGGAAAAATTGTCTTCCACCAAACCGACCCCTGGTGCCAAAAAGGTTGGGGACTGCTGATTTAAATCACATTTTCTTTGGCCCTTGGTGTAATCCCCATCAGCATAACCAGGAGAAAACCACTTCTTTGAGGATTTTCTGTTCGTTTGTTTTGGGGACAAAGTCTCACTCTTGCATAGGTTGGAGTGCAGTGGCCCAATCTCAGCTCACTGCAACCTCTGCCTCCTGGGTTCAAGCAATCATCGTGCCTCAGCATTCCGAGTAGCTGGGATTACAGGTGCCCGCCGCCACGCTGGCTAATTTTTGTGTTTTCAGTAGAGATGGGAGTGAGGGGGTTCACCATGTTGGCCAGGCTGGTCTTGAACGCCCCACCTCGAGTGATCTGCCTACCTCGGCCTCCCAAAGTGCTGGGATTACAAATGTGGGCTTCTGCGCCCAGCCAGAAAACTACTTATTTGGAGTCCACAGGGAACTGGTTACAAATTCCAGGTTTATCACTTAACTGGCAAACTTGACCAAGTCAAAGCTTCATTTGTTTAACAAGAATAACTATTGGCATTGGGAGGTTATAACAATTAAATACTAAGTTGAGCCATATGAACCTGCTGCTTCGGGAGGCAAAAACAGTCTAACAGATCATTGGGAGTGGGGGTAATCTACCAGAATGTTAAGGATTCCTTTGTGCTTCTGACTTTTGAAACACTTCAGCCCTAAATTCTTCCTTTTCACCTCTCTTGCCCAACGTGTAGTGTCTACCAATGGTCTGCGTGGCCCTGGTAGCTTGGAGGTTGCACTCTGTTGACCTACCCTATTGAGGCCAATAAGTAGTCAAGGGACAGCCTCGTGAGATTTGGCAGTTTCACAAGGATCTGGAGTTCTTTCCAGCCAGCCACAAGAACATCCCTTGGGGGATGGAGAAGTCAAGAGCCCTGACACATAGCCTACCACACACAGACTGAGTGCACTTTCACCCTCCTTTTCAATGCCTATTTGCCTTGCTGTACAATGAGTAGTGACATTGGTTCTATTTTTAATTTTTTGAGACAGAGTTTTGCTCTGTTGCCCAGACTGCAATGCAATGGTGCCATCTGGCTCACTGCAACCTCCGCCTCCTGGGTTCAAGTGATTCTCCTGCCTCAGCCTCCCGAGTAGCTGGGATTACAGGCATGCATGCACCACCACACCCAGCTAATTTTTGTATTTCTAGTAGAGACAGGGTTTCACCATGTTGGCCAGGCTGGTCTCGAACTCCTGACCTCAGGTGATCCAACCACTTCAGCCTCCCAAAGTGCTAGGATTATAGGCCTGAGCCACAGGCCGGGCCGGTTCTATTTGTAAATGTGGAAACTGAGGCCTAGAGAGGGTCAGGTCTTGTCCAAGGTCACGCACTTCTTGGTGTTGGAAAGGAGGGGTTTGACTTCAGATGGATCAACATAGGCACTGCCTCTAGATGTGTCACCTTCACAAGGTTCTTGGACATCTGGGGCCTTTTTTTTGAGACGGACTCTCGCTCTGTCGCCTAGGCTGGAGTGCAGTGGCGCCATCTCGGCTCACTGCAACCTCTGCCTCCCAGGTTCAAGCAATTCTCTGCCTCAGCCTCCTGAGTAGCTGGGATTACAGGCGCCCGCCACCACACGCCCGGCTAATTTTTGTATTTTTAGTAGAGACGCGGTTTCACCATGTTGGCCAGGCTGGTCTTGAATTCCTAACCTTGTGATCCACCCACCTCAGCCTCCCAAAGTGCTGGGATTACAGGCGTGAGCCGCCGCGCCCGGAGCGTTTCTTTTTCTAGGAAAGGTCGCTGATAACTCTTGTCATCGTGTAACTCTTCAACCCAAGTCCGCTCTTTGACAGCTCCAGATGTGGGAAGACCCCCAAGGAGACACTGCGAGAAGCAGAGAGCGTGCGTGCGAACGTGAGTACTCAAAACCGTGGGCGCCGGACCGACGCACACGCGCAGCCCCACAATATCAGTATTTAATTTCCAGTAGAGACAGAATTGAGCCTAATCATCACCAGACTCAAGCCTCCTACAAGATCTGCAGCGAACTCCAAAAGCTAGACCGGAACTGCCCCGTTCCCCGGAAAGAAGGGCGGAACGTTTGGCCCAAGTCCCCACACTACCTACACGGAGAGCTCCGGAAGGGGACGGCCCGCGCCTGCGCGTCTCCATCTTGCTAAAAGAGTCTCCACTTTCCCTCGGGGGGTAGCTCATTTGCCACGGGCGGGGCCGCACCTTTCGGCAGGGCGGGGCCCGGCCATGGCGACCGCGGAGCCCAGCGGGCGCGCGGTGCGGGTGTCTTCCCCGGGATCCCAGCCCAGCGGGGCTCGGGACCGCGCGCCGGGAGCTGCCGGGCCACCCTCCGGACAGATCGGTAACAGAGCCCTCCGGCTGGTGGGGCGCACCCCCGCGGCCGTGGAGAAGCGGGGTCCATATATGGTGGCGCGTGCACCCTCCATTCAAGCCAAGCTGCGTGAGTGTGGTCCGATGGTCCGGGGTGGTCTGTCCCTGGGCGGGCTGCCACGTACCCAGGGCGGGCTTCGGAGCTCCGTTGGGCTTCGGCCCCGGAGAGAAGGGGTTAGCTGCAGCCTGCTCCCGCCTCTCAAAATCCGTTTGGAAAGAGCGGCCTCCAAGCCTTCGGGAGACGCGGCGGAGTGGGGAAGACCGGCTGACTCGGGCCCTTTAACTTCCAGAAAAGCACCGGGACCTGGCCAAGGCCGTTCTGCGGAGAAAAGGCATGCTGGGGGCCTCGCCGAACCGGCCAGACTCTTCAGGGAAAAGGTCTCAGCAGGCGCTACCTCCTCTGTGCCAGCAGCTGTAGAGAAGGCCTTAATCCCCAGGACGGGAGAGAGGGTGCTCTGGTTTGAGGCCGAGCTAGCGATTCCCCTGATACAACCTATCTTTAAAATGGGAAGAGGAACAATCTCCTCTTTTCCTTTAAGGATGTGATAGGATCAGGGAAAGGGCTTCGGAGTAAGGGAGTTCTGTGTGTGCACAGGCTCATTCGCGAGAGGAGGAGGATGACGAAGAGCAGTGTGGGAACGGCTAGACCTGTTTTTGTTTGTTCGTTTGTAACAGAATAGTAAACTCGGAGCTGAATAGAACCTTATTCAGTGCCCCCTTTTACAGATGAGGGTTGAAACTCAGAAGTGAATGTTAGACTTAACCCTAACCCTTTGCTCAAAGACTTGCAGTTTTTGTGTCCTCTGATTAAGTATGTGGGAAGAGTGGGCTTTTCCTGGTTCAGGAAAGGGGAAGTGTGCTTTTTCCCAAGAGCTATGGGAGGAGTAGAATACAAGCTGGGCGCGGTGGCTCACAATTGTAATTCCAGCACTTTGGGAAGCCAAGGTGGTTGGATCACTTGAGGTCAAGTATTGGATACCAGCCTGGCCAACATGGCGAAACCCTGTCTCTATTAAAAATACAAAATTAGCTGGGCATGCCTGTAGTCCCAGCTACTCGGGAGGCTGAGGCAGGAGAATCACTTGAACCCGGGAAGCAGAGATTGCAGTGAGCGGAGATCACACCACTGCACTCCAGCCTGGGTGACAGGGCCAGACTCTGTCTCAAAAAAAAAAAAAAAAAAAAAAGAGGACATACACATTCTAAGGCGCTGTAGCCAGGTACATGGAGCTGCAGGCAGTGGTGGCTGTGACCAGGGAGAAGGCAAGTCAGTAGTGCAGTCAATTCCTTTTCCTTCAGAGTGAGGGCTCTGGCTTCCCCTGTGAAATGCCTAGGCTTTCATCTATGCTTGGTCTTTTCTCCCCCATCTCCCTTCAGGTCAGTGAAGTTTAACAAGGGCTATACTGCTCTTAGCCAGAGTCCAGATGAAAACCTGGTGTCCCTCGACTCTGACAGGTGAGTGCTCCCCTTGGAAATACACCCTCGCAAAGCACCTTAGATGGAACTGAAGATCGCTTGATGTCTTTGCTTGTTCCCTGTCTCCTCCAAGGCCCTTCATGTATATTCCAGGGCTGTTCTCTTCTGAGCAATATCCCTTCCCAGGATGGCTTGGTTAGAAGACTCATAGGTAATCATGCCGCTCTAGAATTCGGAGCACCAATGTCTGGGGGATCATCCTGCCCTATTATGTCTGCATTGTTAGTGAGAGTGACCCTGTCCCTGCCAGAACGAATTGAGGGAACCACTATTACTCAAGGCCTGTTCTGGGCTTGAGTTCTGTTGTGCGTGGCCTTTGCTTCACAAGTCTTCCAGATGCCTTTGCATGCTCTCCACCTTGTGATTTACAGCCGTGCTCCACAGTGCCTCCCTAAACTGACTCTTTTCCTCTTCTCCTAGTGATGGGGAGCTGGAATCCAGATACTCCTCCGGGTATTCCTCTGCAGAGGCAAGTCCAGAGCACCTTTCTGCGCAGGGCCAGGCTGCAGGCGGCATTACCAGCACTGCCAAATGCTTGTTTGGTGCCCGCTGTGAGCACAGCACTGTGCCAGACTTCTGGTCTGTTCTCCAATCTTCCACTCTGCCCTCTTCCCCCTGCGGAGGTGTAGGTGACTAAGGAGGGCTGTTGAGAATCCAGGAGACCATATACACTCACGGCTGGAAATGATCTCAAAAGTCATGTAAGCTGCTACTAGGGAGGCTGAGGCAGGAGGATTGCTTGAGCCCAGGAGTTCAAGACCAGCCTGGGCAATATGGCATGACCCTGTCTCTAAAATAAGACTCTAAAGTCTTCTAGGCCACAGCTTAGAAAAGGAATCTATCTGTCTGTCTATCTATCTATCTATCTATCTATCTATTTATTGTTTTTGTTGTTTTATTTTTTTGTTTGTTTTTAGAAAAGGAATCTTTTTGATAGAATTTAGCTAAGTGTTTACTAGTCTGTGCTTACTTGAATGCTTTTTGTAATTGGGTACACAGCACCTCCAAGAAGGCTTGCTGCCCACTCTTCCCTCAACACACACATACACACAACTTTGAGTAGCTCTTAGAGAGATCTTCCTTATTAATCTGAAATGGTTCTTACAGCCTGGGTCCATTGGTCCTTGTTCTGCTTTCCAGTGTCACACAGCAACTCCAGTCTCTCTGAGGTCAGCATTTCTGTCTCTCCCCTGCCATCTTCCACCAAGCTTGCTTTCTTCCAGACCGAACAACTTCTGTTTCTTCAGTTGCTCCAGCTATGAACACTCAGGCTGCAACACTACTGGGATAGCCATGTGGCCATTTTTCCGGAGTGACTGTCCCAGATAGAAACCCAGGGATGTAAAGTCCTGGTGTTCACAGGTCATTCCCTTTGACAGAGGTGAAAGCCCTGGGGACCTGACTCCACCACTGTTTTTTTTGTTTTTTTTTTTAAATAAAGACGGGGTTTCACCATGTTGGTCAGGGTGGTCTTGAACTCTCGACCTCAGGTGATCCACCCTCCTTGGCCTCCAAAGTGAGCCACCACGCCCGTCCTACATCACTGGTTTTTCTTATTCTCCCGGAAATCTTGGCTAATCTCTGAGTTTCTGCCACAGAGAATAGAGGCAGTTTGCAAATTGTGTCCTCCTTAAATGTCTGACTGTCAAAGATTGTGTCTAAGAGGAAGTCTTACACTTTCCCCAGCCTTATTTATTCTTCTTAGGCTCAGTGAACTGATGAAACCAACCAACAGATTCTACTTTGCAGGGACCCGGCTCTGCTGGCCTCAAAGGATAAGTCTAAGTCTAACCAGCAGTGCGTAGACAAAGCTGCTCACCACACCCTTCCACCGTAGCCCATGCTCTATTATGCTAGCCCATTGTTCTGTGATCTTTATCCCATACTCTTCAGCCTTGATAGAGACTAGTCTGGGCTCCCAGTGAAAACGGTCAGGGCACTGATTTTCACACATAATTGGGAACTTGATATTTCTATGAATGCCTCAGGATTTAGTGAGAACAGATCCCCTGGGGGTCAGTGACAGTGAAGCCTGGACAGCACTAAGGCTTATTGCTGGCTGAGGCACAAGTAGGAGAAAGTGGCACTTTATCCTGTAGTCCAGGGATGTGTGGGGTTGGCCTGGTGGGTGGGGAGTGGGCATGGACAGGAAGCCCTGATAAGGGAATGTGGGCCTGTCTTTTGGGCAGCGGTTATTTCTGCTTTGCATTGTGGCCTATAGTGCCCTCTTCTCCTTCTCTTAGCAGGTGAACCAGGATGTGAGCCGGCAGCTGCTCCAGGATGGGTATCACCTGGATGAGATTCCAGATGACGAGGACTTAGACCTCATCCCCCCTAAGCCAATGGCTTCTTCAACATGCTCCTGCTGCTGGTGCTGTCTTGGGGACTCTTCCTCCTGTACCCTCCAGTAGACATTACCCTCCAAAACGGGCCCTGTTCACTATGAGGCCCTGCTGGCCACTCAGCTCACAGAGTGCAGTGAGCACTGGGGTCACTGACCCCTGGAAAGTGACCTGCAGGTAGCCCTTACCTGTTGCTTCTCAGGCCAGAGGCCCCCATCTGGGCTGTGGGGTGATAGGTAGAATCCTGCAGATTTCCTCTGCTGTTGGAGCAGAGTTTGGAGAAGCCACTTTAATAAGGGCAGGACAGAGGAATTCTGGTTCTTGTGGTGGGTGACAAAGGTAACTAAGGAAAACAGTTGCAGACAGCTTGACTGGTGTTTGTCATGGTGCTTCAGGGAGGCACAAAGAACTCTTGTGCCAGGCTGGGCTAGATAGTGTTGTATGGAGGCAGAAAATAGCACTTTATGGTTTATAGCTGGCAATCCAAAAAAGAGTTTAACTGTTTTGAGACCAGTTCAGGAAATTCCATTTGCCCTATTCTTCCTAGCTCTAAGATGGGTTGCAGGCCTGACCTTCAGGAGAGCATAAAGTGAGTCCTTTTGTCTATGACAGGGACAGCAAGTTGCTTAATGACACAGCATGATCCTGGCTTCCAGAATCCCTGGACCTGGGGCATCCCCAACCGGTCCAACTGTCCGGGTGAGTTTAGTGACTCTGGTTTGCCCTTCCCTAGTTAGAGAAAAGCTGCTTCAACATGTTCATATTTATTTATTTGTATTTCCTTGGTCTGGGCTTGTTTCTTTCCCAGTCTTTGAGCTAAAGATTGGGTGGAAGGTACTGGGGCTGGCCCCAGAAGGTTGCAGTTTTTGTTATTACCAGCAGAGGGAGCTACAGGGGAGCAGTCCAGTGCCTTCCTATTGGTTTCGCTTTTTAAACTTTTGAAAAGGAGCAATGGGTGAGAGTGGGAATAGAGCAGTGTGGGCTTTGTCCTAGACTGAGGCTTACAGACAGGAATGGGAGCAGAGACCTAAGCCAGCTCCTAGGCCCTTGGCTGAGGAGATCAGTCGGGCAGTGTAAAGGGCCTCCCTTCCTTCCAGCATGGACCATTCCATTGCCAGATTCTTCTGGTCATAGCATGGACCTCACTGGATAATCAGGATTGGGCTTTAAGCAGACCTCTGGGTGTAACACAGCCTCTTTCAGCCCCCAGCCCAAACACAGCAGAAATAGACATAATTTCTGCTGTGACACCCCATGCCCCCATACTGGAGAGTTTCTCTTGCTATACAGTATATCAAGCCTCTTTCTAGAATTTTTTTCAAAGGTGTTTTTTGTTTTGATTTGTTTTGTTTTTTGACCTCACCCAGGACCATGGTGAGTGTTCCACTTTGTTTTATTGGAGACAGGGTCTCTCTGTCACCCAGACTGGAGTACAGTGGTGCAGTTATAGCTCACTGCAGCCTCCACCTCTCAGGCCCAAGCAGCCCTCCCACATGGTGAGCTGTGAATGGGAATAGACAGGGTTCCCAGCCCAGTAGTCGGGATTGGGGTATAGGTTCCACATGGGGAAGTGTCCAGTCTCTTGCTTTACTCAGTGTTCTGTGATCACTGGAGGCATATGAGGGACAGCACACTCTTTTTGCTCTGCCACAAGGGCTGACTGGAAGATGAGAAAGCCTAATAAAAAGGTACGGCGTTATTTGTCAGACAAGTGTCCTCACGCTGGTAATCCTTTGAGTGCTTGATGGACATCTTTGTGTTTTTCTCAAACCATGGAAGGTTGAGAGGAATATACAGTATCTGGGGATGACTTACTGTCCTAGCTAGCAGCATCATGGCAGGGAGACAGGACAGAGACCAGAGCCATGCCAACTTGGGGCCTGGGGGAGAGGAGGCAGATGGTTACTCCGTTCTGGAATGGGACTCTGCAACTCTACGCAGGTGGCTAACGTTCTGAGCACTTCGTGCAAATGCTTGCGGGGAGCAAGAACATCTCCATCCTGAACCCCTTCGCCATCCGCAGAGATGGGGGCCTTGTGTCTGCAGAGGTGAAGTGCACATGTGGAAAGGGATCAAACGTAGCACAGTGTAAAGACAGCGGTGTGGGTGGAAGGACCCAGCGCCTGCCAGGAGGCGGCTGTGGAAGCTAAGTATAGAGCCACATGTCTGTTGGAGGTGGTCAGGGCAGAGTAGCCTGGGTGTTTAGCAGCTGCTAGGGGTGAGAGTGGCAGGACCCCAAAACCAAGGCCCTCTGTTGTAGTATCAACTCTGGCATAGTCAGCTGCAAGTATCCTTGAAGAAGAGGTTTCTAAGCTGGGTCCTACGTAGGAGGGTGTTACCCTGTAGAAAAAGCTGGAGGGACCTGGTGGGACAGTGTGCAGTGAGGCATGGTAGAAACGGTCAGTTGTTTAGGGCCAGTAGCCACATACCAAAATACCACCAATGTGCCCAGGGCCAAACTGCCTTAATTCAGAGTGCTGGGTGTTCTGCAGGTGACAGTTTCCTGGGGAGAGGGGTGTGTCCAGGCCTACCTCCCAGACATGAGTGGTACCATACGGTGTTTATGTACTACTCTACCAAATGCTTGGCTTGCACTTCTACAGCCCTGTACATTTATAAGAATAAATGCAATCACACTAGTTGAGCTGTGTCTATGTTGCATTAGAATTTTAAAGAAAGGCCTGGATATCCTGAAATGAAGAAATAGCTTAATAGCCCACTACAGCAATTCCTTCTGGAAACTCCCTCCCCTTTCTGCTCTTCCCAGGAGGCACCACTTTCGGGCCTGTTTCATTGGACAGCGTGAGTGAAATAGGCCCTTGCAAGTCACTTCTCTAAAATGGGTTCCCTTTAGCAGACTTTTTCTAGCTTTTTTTTTTTTTTTGAGACAGAGTCTTGCTCTGTTGCCCAGGCTGGAGTGCAGTGGCATAACCTCAGCTCACTGCAACCTCTGCCTCCTGGGTTCAAGTGATTCTCCTGCCTCAGGCTCCCAAGAAGCTGGGATTACAGGTGCGTGCCACCACGCCCGCCTTATTTTTGTTTTTAGTACAGACAGAGTTTCACCATGTTGGTGAGGCTGGTCTCGAACTCCTGACCTCATGATCCCCCTGCCTCAGCCTCCCAAAGTGCTGGGATTACAGGTGTGAGCCACCACACATGGCCTCCAGCTCATCTTTATTGTTTTTTAGCTGAAGAAAATTTGAAGGCAAAAAAAATCAGGAGATATTTTGAAGGTGGTTTCCCTGAACTCCATTGTACAGGGACCTCTAGTGTGGGCAGAAGCCCAAAAAGATTCTTTTGTATGAATTTAAACCTTTACCTCACAGGAAGGAGCCAGTGGATTAAGACTGATTAGTCTCAGATGACAGTATCTACGATTGCAGGTCAGACAGCCAACAGCCTCTCACAGGTGTGTCCCACCCCTGGAGCAGGGCATCGGGAAGAGATTCCCTCCTACGTATTTCCTGCCAGCTTAGGAAAGCTAACTGGGCTTTTTCTCACAATGAAAACTGGCTAGTTCAGTTCCTGAGTCCCTGTAATCTGCAGCAGTTGAGTATGTTCTAGAGAAGGGGTTGACAATCAGTAGTTTGGGCTTTGCAGGCCGTACAGTCTAGTGCAGCTCTTCAACTTTGCCCCTGTGGCTTGAAAGCAGCCAGAGAGTATATAAATGAACAGGTTTGGCCAGAACTGGCCTGCCAGCCCGGTTTGCTGACCGCTGCTCTAGGGCCAATTGAATAACGGGAGCAAAGAATCTTGCACTGGTGATTGCTGTATCCTTTGAGCCACCTTCCCTCTGTAGGGCTGGAGGACCCAAGGCCTGCTTGCAAGCTGTGCCTCTGAGGCTGAAGTTGGCTTCCTCTTCCACTCCTTCCCATACAAGTGTTGGAGTATAGTTTACCCACTCCCCAGGAAACTGTGAAGTAGGAATAAACCTAAACTGGGGCATCATGCAAGGAGGGCACTTTTGGCCCATTTTAGGAACAGGTACCCCAAAGGCTGAGTGCTCATTACCCCACAGCCTCAACACAAGTGACTTTTAATTGCTTTGGCAGAACAAGAGGGTGTAAACAATGTGAGTCCACAGGCCTGCCCTTTCCCTTTCCTCCTCTGCAGCTGAGGAAATGGGTAGTCCCAGGGCAAGAACACTATTCTTGAAAATTACCTGACCTCTTGCTCTGACAGATGCTGAACTAATGGTTCACAGATTTTGCTGGCTAGCCTGGAGCCATAGGCTAGAGCAGAATTGGCAAGAGCCTGGCTCAGGTGTAGCAAAGAGTGGAGAGAGAAGACAGGGGGAGTGTCAGACCCCTCACACAGGCCTCTCCTCCCCAAAGATGTTTCCATCTAGGTGTGTTCAGGAGTCACTACTTTCACGCTCCCTCCTCCACCCCAGCTCTTCCAGGGTGTACCTAAGGGGTCCAGAGCAAGGAAGGGGGCTTGAGCTGGGCCTGAGGAGGTGAGGCTGGCTGAGGAGAGCTAGGGTGACTGACAGAGGAGAGCTAGGGAGGCCATGGCCTCTACAGCAAACAGCAGGCACGGAATATCAGCAGGTTCTTCGGCTCGGTAAGCTTCAGTGAGACACTCTCATTGGCCCCAGTGAAGAGCACGCTGCCACGCTGCAGAGGGATTGGTGTCTGGGCTGTGGGTGTGCTGGCTATCACTGTCCCCTGTACCATCAGGAGGATGCTGGCAGAGTCCAGTGCCAAGACCTTGTATTCAGTGACAGAGCCAGGGACCTGGGCAGGGAGAAACGATAGACTCTGCTCTCATCAGTTCATGGGCCCAGGACAGTCCCCAGGGCAGAAGGGAGAGCTCTGCCATCTTCTCCCACATCTCCTCCAGGCTCAGTCAGCATGGAGGCCTGGTCCCTGGTACAGGGAGGAGGGGGCAGGCCCTGGGGCCACCCTCCAGCAAGTGGGCTTGACAGGAAACCCAATCCCAGGTGTCCTCCACATCATGACCCTTGCCAGAGATTTTTATAGCACACGAAAGACACCTGCCATGGCCCCTCACTCACCTCCATCTTCATAATGGTGAAGTCTGGCACAGGGGGGTCATAGATTGAGAGGTAGGGGTCTTCCTGACTCCGTGTTGGGAGGAAGAGCCTGTCCTTGCTGGAGCTAGGGGTATAGCTGAGCATTTCACACAGGGTTGGCACGTCAATGAACTTGGGTGTCAGGCCAGCACGCACTGTATTGTCTGAACACGCCATGCACTCCACGCAGTCTGGAGAGAAATCATGTGTGCTAAGCTGGTGAAGTATGACTTGGCTCTCCAGCTCTGGGCCTCTTAACCTGAGCTCCTTGAACCCCAGGCCAAGTTAGGCAAAAACTTCCATGAATTGTATTCTCTGGGATAATGGGGCTAAGATATCAAATACCAAAAACAGGTGACAAGTCACCCACTATTGTCAGAGGGGAGTCATGTTAACCCCTGGGGTTTGGGGAGCCCAACTCTCATCTCCAACTTTTAGCACAGAATCCTGTGCATGAGGCATGTGTGGATAAGCAGCCAACAGTCAAAAGGTGGCATCCTTCTGTGGCAACATCCATATTATAGTGTCAAAATCCCTGGTTAGGTAGGACAGACAGACAAAGGCTGTGAAATAGAACAACAGCTTTGATCCAGCCTAGCCTGGGTTCAAAGCGTAGTTCCCACACTGGCTAGCAGGGCTTAAAATCATAGTAGCATGACATCACAGGTTTGGTGGCAGGATTCAAGCTGTGTTCTATGCTAAATGCATTCATCATCCCTACCAGCTGTTTCCTGCTGCGCCCAGGAACCCTCAGAGGTCAGAGCTGCGTGGTCCTTGGAGGTCTCCTTGGCCACCCTTCTCCCTCTTTTGTCTAGATAGGGAAACAGGGCCCAGCAGGGATGGCAGAAAGGAGGGATGAGGCTCACCTCCTTTCAGGTAGGCGTGGGGTACGTTGGCCTCCAGAAACATGGCCTCCCCAGGCTTCAGGGTAAGCAGGTTCAGGAAGTAGATGGCAAAGCAGCCGATATCACCTGGGTACTGCTGGTGCAGCTGCATCAAAAGCTCCCCAAAGATGTCCTCCATGTTGTTTCCGGCAGCCACTGAGGGTCACAGAGCACCCAAGGTCACTTAGGCGGATACTCAGTGCTGTTCATAGCCCCACCGTAGCCAGGGAGTCCTGGGAAAAGTTCCCTCCCCATAGGAATCCAGAAGCCAAAGTAGCCCTGTCCTTCTGGCCACACCTTCAGCCCTCTGGGCTTCAGCCTTGCTTGATACTCCACTTTATACAAATGCCATCTTAGGCCGCTCCAGACAGCATAAAGCAGAATGCACCAAGGGCCAAAATGTGCCCTGAAACGATAGGGGGAAATGAGCTCAGCCTGGGTAGAGTGGCAAGGGCAGGCTTTTTTTTTTTTTTTTTTTTTTTTTTTAATAAAGATGTGGCGGTTTCACCATGATGGCCAGGCTGGTCTTGAAGTCAACTCCTGACCTAAGGTGATCCACCTACCTCGGCCTCCCAAAGTGCTAGGATTGCAGGCGTGAGCCACCGCGCCCGGCCAAGGGCAGGCTTTAAAATTTTTTTTTTAATACAGTCCTGCTCTGACTCCCGGACTGGAGTGCAGTGGTGTGATCTAGACTCACTCTAACCTCCCCATCCCAGGTTCAAGTGCTTCTCGTGCCTCAGCCTCCTGAGTAGTTTGGATTACAGGCACACGCCACCAAGCCTGGCCAATTTTGTTTTTGTTTTTTAGATGGAGCCTCGCTGTATCACCCGGGCCAGAGTGCAGTGGCACAATCTTGGCTCACCGCAATTTCCGCCCTGCCTGGCTAATTTTTGCATTTTAGTAGAGATGGGGTTTTACCATGTCGGCCAGGCTGGTCTCAAACTCCTGACCTCAAGTGATCCACCTGCCTCAGCCTCCCAAAAGTGCTGGTATTACAGGCATGAGCCACCACGCCCAGTCAGGCTTCTTTAAAGTGAGGCAGGGGGTCTGGCATGGTGGCTCATGCCTGTAATCCTAGCACTTTGGGAGGCTAAGGCAGGCAGATTGCCTGAGCTGAGACGTTTGAGACCAGCCCGGGCAACATGATAAAACCCCATCTCTTCTAAAATATAGAAAATTAGCTGGGCATGGTGGCACATGGCTGTAATCCCGCTACTCAGGAGGCTAAGGCAGCAGAATTGTTTGAACCCAGGAGGCAGAGGTTGCAATGAGCCAAGATCACACCACTGCACTCCAGCCTAGGGCAACAGAGAAAGACCCTGTCTCAAAAAATGAAAGCACATATACACACACACCGAACAAGAAAAAATAAGTCTCAAAAAATAAAGCACACACACACACGGAACAGGAAAAAATATGCTTGGGTAAAATAAATGGTGCCCTAAGCTCAAAGGTAGCAGGGAAAGAAGTTGACCTCATCACCTGCGCCACATAAGCTCACTGCTGGGAGTCCGTTCTGCTTTGTGTTTCTTACTGCTTGTGTTGACTTCCCACATTTGGGGTGACATGACCACACCCATCACAGTCATTTCCTGAACTCTTCTTAGCACAAGGTCAGGCACACAGCAGGTAAAGGAAAGATCAAATGACTGAGTGCTAGAGGCATCAGGCCTTTCCAGGAGAGGAAGGATGCTCTTGTCCCCTTCCTGCCTCTTTAGCCCCAAGATACAAGTCCCTCCATGGAGGGCAGCTGTGAGGTTGGGGAAAATCTCAGAATGCCTAGGTGGAAGGCATCCTAAGAGTCTTCTATGCTGGCTGGGCACAGTGGCTCATGCCTATAATCCCAGCACTTTGGGAGGCCAAGGTGGGCAGATCATGAGATCAGGAGATCGAGACCATCCTGGCTAACATGTTGAAACCCCATCTCTACTCATATACAAAAAATTAGCCGGCCATGGTGGTGTGCACCTTTAGTTCCAGCTACTCAGGAGGCTGAGGCAGAATTGCTTGAACCCAGGAGGCAGAGGTTGCAGTGAGCTGAGATTGCGCCAGTGCACTCCAGTCTGGGCAACAGAGCAAGTCTGTCTCAAAAAAAAAAAAAAAAAGTCTTCTATGCCAGTCTGCCTCTAGCCATCTGGAGAAGATGACTGGTTGGGACACAGCACTCAGTCAAGGGCCCTGCTCCACAAAGACTAGGAAAGCAATGCTAAGTTGCCAACAGGTCATCTAAGCTGGGCCCCTTCTAGTGTTCCACTTGGGCAGAGGAGTTGAGAACCCTGTCCCCAGAGTCTGGTATCTGTAGGGAGCTCAGGCCAGAGCTCAGCACCCACCCAGGAATATAACCATGCCCACCTTGCTGCGAGATCCGCTTCACCAACAGGTTGAGCTGTTCCACCACCACCTTCTTCTCACTCTTCATCAGGTGGGAGAAACAGCTCTTCAAAGCAGAGGCCACAGCCTGGGAGTCACGGCTTATGCTCTGCTTCAGGCGTGTTGCTGCATCATCTCCAATCAGGACCTGGAACTCAGGCACCTCTATAGGAAGGCCAGGCCCAGGGCCCATATCAGGAATGGTAAGATGGAACCCACACAAGTAGGGAGTTAGAAGAGGCCTTCCCATCCCAGCCCTAACCAAAGAGCCAGCAGTACTAAGCAAACTTTGCAGTGGAAACCAGTCACTCACCACGAGCCCTTGCAACCACAACCACACCTGAGCCTGGTCTGGCCCACTGGCTCCAAAAAACTGCTTCATGAGGCCCTTCAGTGCCTGTGACATGTGACCTCTGTTCTCTGCCAACGTTCCTACTATCATCTGGGTTCCCTAGGTATCCCTGGCCCAATACACATGCCCTCAGCATTCTGCCCAACTTACTCTTCAGAAAGGTTATAATCTCCTCAACTGGCCGGAAGCCACACAAGCCCTGGAAGGGGGTGAGGGCAATGGCCATCTCTGGCTTATGGTTGGCATCGGGGTAGTGCTGCGGAGCCTGGAGGTGTAGCTTCTCTGCCAGCTCCTGTGGGGTGGCCAGGGGAAGAGAAGGATGGTGAGGGTAGCCATTAACTAGCAGGGACACCAGTGCTACCCAGCCCCTGCTCTCTACCCTCCTCAGTCGAAGGAAGGCAGTGGCTGCCTACCTCCGGGAAGGAGCCCAGTCAAAGCATGATACAGAAACTTGGAGTTCAGCCTACCCAGGGTAGGGAAATGGGCCAAATCCAGGGGAGAGCTGGGGTGGATTCTAAGAGGCTTGGTCTGTGACTCAGGAAACCCAAACACCAGGCCAAGCTCTGACATGAACAAGCTGTGTGGCTTTGGGCAAATCCCTCTATTCTCTGGGTCTTACTTTGTGTATCTAGAAATAAGGAGTTTTGGCTGGGTGCAGAGCTCATGCCTGTAATCCCAGCACTTTGGGAGGCTGAGGCAGGCAGATCACTTGAGGTCAGGAGTTTGACACCAGCCAGGCCAACATGGTGAAACCCCATCTCTACTAAAGATACAAAAATTAGCCAGGCATGGTGGCATGTCCCTGTAAATCCCAGCTATTTGGGAAGCTGAGGCAGGAGAATTGCTTGAACCAGGAGGAGGCAGCAGTAGGGTGAGCTGAGATCACCCTACTGCACTCCAGCCTGGGTGACAGAGCGAGACTCCGTCTCAGAAAAAACAAAAAGGAGTTTAGATCCACAGTTACTTAGGACGGGACTCAGGTTTGTGTAGGGAGACTCCATGGGGTGGAGCTGAGGGTAACTGCCCTGCCCTGCAAGCTGAACTCTTCCTGAAAGCAGATGAGTAAACGGCAGATATGAATAGACCTGGGCTAGGTGAGGGAAGACCAGGAACAAGCCCCTTGGAATGAGCTTAGAGAAACCCCTGGCACAGGCCAGTCAGCTGTTCGCTTAGACTTAGTTGCCGCATGTGTCACCACCATCTGCTTTGCAGAGCTAAATTGGGAGTTGTCAGCCTGGATTTGGCCTTGGGCAGGAGCCTGGCATGGGTAGAGTAAAAGCGGCAGTAAAAGTCATGGGAGGGCCTTAGCACAAGCCTTACTCTACCCTGACCTCTGTACCCCACTCTGTCTTTTACCTTGTTAGGGTGTGCCTGGATGGATAGGGCTGTTTCGACTGAGAGCACTTTGAAGAGGAAGGGCAGGTTGCCATTAAAGGTGTCCTTGACCTTTGAGCCCAAGCTGTCCTGGTTCTCAGCAATCCACTGTCCAAGGGTTTTCTGTGAGATGCGGTTGTCAAGGATCTTGGCATCCCCTCGGGGGTGAGTCCCCATCCACAACTGGAAAGACAGAAAACTTGTGAGGGGAGGGGCAAGAAACCTGGCACCCCAAGTTGGCCTGTTCCAAATGGTTATGCTATGCTCCCCACAGGGCACCTGAGTCCTAGGAACGGCCTCCCAGGTCTGAATACAAATGTTCATGCCATCATGGACATACAGGCAGGCAGCAGACCCAGGCCCTGTGAGGGGTTAACATACATCTTCCAGTTTCAGAAGCAGAGGCGAAAGCCTTCCTATGCTTTGGCTTTTTCCCCTCTAAATAGGCAGAAGAAATATTTTAGGTTAATAAAAATGCCAAAAAAAAAAAAAAGTCGAAGTAAAAAAACTTAATTGTCGAAGAGGGCAGAATTAAAATTCACTAAGTGCTAAGAGTGGTTGGGGGAGGAGAGTGCTGGAAATCTCAGTCTATTATGATAAAACCTCTCTTCTTGTGGTACCACTATAGTTCATCAGCCTGAAGAGCCAAGTGGGCCTCCTCCCTCCTTGCTGCCTCACCCTTCCCTGCTGAATTGTTATGACTTGTCTCGGGCCCTTTCTCCTGACCTGCGTGGAGAGTAGGCTGAAATAGGGCCCGGGCTCACCTCTGCATAGGGCTTGTCCTCTGCGATATGGGCCAGTGGGTCACTGCTAGCCAGCAGCCGCGCCACTTCGCTGTTAGAACCCATCTTCCCCCAGGCATACTGCTGCACCGCACAGGAAAGTGGGAATACTGGGGGTACAGAAAGAGGGTCAGCTGCCACTCCACTCCTCAGGCCCGACCTCAGTGTCCCGGGAAACCAGGCAAGAGCTGGGGGTGCTCACTTGCAACAGAGTCAACTAAGGGGTTGGTAGGCTGTTGGGCGAGACCCGCCTCCGCTGCAGGCCTTCAGGTTCCCAGCTGTCAGATGGGCAGCAAGGACCTTGTGCTGACCTGAGGCCGGGTGGCAAGGAGGGAGCGGGCGGTATCCATCCCACGGCACCCAGTCTGGAAGGCCCCCTCCCGTCGGAGGTCAATCCCCATTGCAGGCGGCCCCTCCTCTGCCTGGCACCCACCCATCTTTCCGCGGAGCCCCAGGAGTGGACTCGACCTGGCCGACCATCCCAGGATTCGTCCCCAGGACGCGCCCCACCCACCACACTCGCCGACACTACGGCCAATGACTCACCTCGCGGAACGGCCATACTCGCCCCTTAACGCTTGGCTTAAGCACGTAAGCCTTTCCCGGCAGACCCCGCGGCCCTCTGCTCCCAGAGCGTCATGGGAAATGTAGTTCCCTGAGCGTTCCGCCCCGCCCCTGGGCACCCGCCCAGAGGCTTCCGGCCGCAATTTTCGGTCTCTGCATTCATTCATTCCTTCGGTCGCCGGACACAGATGCATTGAAAACTAGCTAAGTACCACGGACAGTTCTAAGGGCTGGAGGATACATCAGAAAGCAAGTTAGCCTTCCCTCTGCCTTTGTAGAGCGCTTACATTCTGGTGAAGGCAAGACAGACAGGTATTGCAAGCAAATCACGTAGTGTGTTGAAAGATCAAGGCCACAAAAAGTAAGGGGGGGCAGGTAGAAGAAGTGAGAGGCAGTTTGCAGAATTTCAAAGGCTGTCTGGGCAAGCCTCATTGAGGAGGTAAGGTTTGAGCCCAGACTTGGCGGTGAGGAAGGCAGGAGTGTTCTGCGGGGAAGGAAACAGCCACAGCGGGAGCCAGAGCAAGGCGACAATGTGGGACTGTGCCGGGCATGTTCGGGAGTGACCAGCAAGGAGGCCACTGTGGCTGGAGCAGAGTGAGCAAGAGAGGGGCAGTGAGGAAGTCAGAGAGGAGAGGCAAGGGCAGAGCTTTGCAGGCTATTGTGAGGACTGGGTTTTACTCAGTCTCTCAGGAGTTAGAGATTTGAGCAAAGAATTGCTGTGATGTGAGTAGGAACATACTAGTGATGATGCAAGGCCTTTCACTTCTCTGCTTTGTAGAATGGGGTAACTAATGCCAGCCTGATACGCTTGTTGGAGGGTCAGATGGGATGATGTGGGACACCTGTAAGGTAGTCAATGCTCTGTGCTCCTCTGATCCTTCCTGTCCCAGGTACTGCAGAAAGTCAGAACCCCAACTCCTCCTCCAGGCTGAGCTGCTTACAAGTCACACACACAGAAGTCAGGGGAGTTACCAAGAGCTATGCATGGGGAAGGATGGGGTTGGGCCTTGGCTCTGCTGTAATCTTGCTATATCCTGTGGAGAAAGGCATTGACATCTAGACCTCCTCAGTCAACAGCTTCCTAGGAGGAGGGCAGTCTGCTGGAGGGACTCAGGAGCACAGCAGTAAAAGCTCCAGGGAACCTGGAATGAGGGGTTACCGTTCCCGACTCTACCCTCATCACTCTGGCAATACCCTGATTCCCACCGCCTCTACCTCATGTGCCCAGGGGAAAGAGGGGGTGCTGTTTTCCCTGTAATGCTCTGTCCAGGTGTGGGTATCTACCTCACCTCCCCTGAGTCCTCTGGCTCAGATAAATCAGCCTGCATTTCAAAGGAAGCTTTACTACACGCTAAAGAATAATAAAATGGCTAACACAAGACTCATGAAACAACGTAGCTCAATAACTTCTACTTTGGAATACCACACCTTCCCCTCATCTCCACTCCCCAAGTGATATGGTTCCGCTCTGTGTCCTCATCCAAATCTCATCTCGAATTGTAATCCCCACATGTCGAGGGAGGGACATGGTGGGAAGTGATTGGATCATGGGGGTGGTTCCCCATGCTGTTCTCATGATAGTGAGTTCTCACTCACCTGAGCTGATTGTTCTATTTTCCTTTTTTTTTTTTAAGACTCAGTCTTGCTCTTGTCCGCCAGGCTGGAGTGTAATGGCGTGATCTCGGCTCACTGCAACCTCTGCCTCCCAGGTTCAAGCAATCCTCCTGCCTCAGCCTCCCAAGTAGCTGGGATTACAAGCGCTCGCCACCATACCTGGCTAATTTTCTCATTTTTAGTAGAGACAGGGTTTCACCGTGTTGGCCAGGCTGGTCTTGAACTCCTGACCTCAGGTGATCTGCCTGCTTCAGCCTCCTAAAGTGCTGGGATTACAGGCATGAGCCACCGAGCCCTGCCAGAGCTGATGGTTTTAAAGTGTGGCACTTCCTCACTCTCACTCTCTCCTGCTGCCTTCTAAGACCTGCCTTGCTTCCCCTTCACCTTCTGTCATGATTATAAGTTCCTGAGGCCTCCCCAGCCATGTGGAACTGTGAGTCAATTAAGCCACCTTTTTTTTTTTTTTTTTTTTGAGAAGGGTTCTTGCTCCATTGCCCAGACTGGAGTGTAGTGGCATGATCTTGGCTCACTGCAACCTCCGCGTCCTGGGTTTTAAAAGCCCTTGCGGCCGGGTGCGGTGGCTCATGCCTATAATCCCAGCACTTTGGGAGGCCGAGGCGGGTGGATCACGAGGTCAAGAGATAGAGACCATCCTGGTAAACAAGGTGAAACCCCATCTCTACTAAAAATACAAAAATTAGCTGGGCATGGTGGTGCATGCCTGTAGTCCCAGCTACTTGGGAGGCTGAGGCAAGAGAATTGTTAGAACCCAGAAGGCGGAGGTTGGGGTGAGCCGAGATCGTGCCATTGTACTCCAGTCTGAGTAACAACAGTGAAACTCTGTCTCAAAACAAAACAAAAAACAAACAAACAAGAAACCCTTGCTTGTAAGCCATTGTGGAGTTCAGGGCTTAAGCTTTAGCTGCCTGGTTCTCCTTGCTTGGCACCTGCAATAGCTGTCTCACTTTCTTTTGCTGCAAGTCTCAGTGTCACTGTTTGGCTTTTTTTTTTTTTAGACGGAGTTTTGCTCTTGTTACCCAGGCTGGAGTGCAATGGCGCGATCTCGGCTCACCGCAACCTCCGCCTCCTGAGTTCAGGCAATTCTCCTGCCTCAGCCTCCTGAGTAGCTGGGATTACAGGCACGCGCCACCATGCCCAGCCAATTTTTTGTATTTTTAGTAGAGACGGGGTTTCACCATGCTGACCAGAATGGTCTGGATCTCTTGACCTCGTGATCCACCCGCCTTGGCCTCCCAAAGTGCTGGGATTACAGGCTTGAGCCACCGCGCCCGGCTGGCCTTTTTTTTTTCTTTGAGACAGAGTCTTCCTCTGTTGCTCATCAGGCTGGAGTGCAGTGGCAATCACAGTTCATTGCAGCCTCTACTTCCAAGACTCAAGTGATCCTCTCACCTCAGCCTCTTAAGTAGTTGGGATTATAGACACATGCTGCTATGCCCTGCTAATTTTTTATTTTTTAGTTTGAGAGATTGGGTCTCTGCTGGGTGCAGTGGCTCACGCCTGAAATCCCAGCACTTTGGGAGGCCGAGGAAGTCAGGAGTTTGAGACCAGGCTGACCAACATGGTGAAACCCCGTCTCTACTGAAAATACAAAAATTAGCCAGGCATGGTGGCACCCGTCTATAAGCCCAGCTACTCAGGGGGCTGAGGCAGGAGAATCACTTTAACCCAGGAGGCAGAGGTTGCAGTGAGCTGAGATTGCACCACTGCACTCCAGCATGGATGACAGAGTGAGACAACGTCTCCACAAAACAAAACAAAAAAAAAAGAGAGAGAGAGAGATTGGGTCTTACTATGTGGCCAGGCTGGTCTCAAACTCCTGGCCTCAAGTGATCCTCCTACCTCAACCACTCAAGGTGCTGGGAGTATAGGTGTGAGCCAATGTGCCTGGCCAGTGTTTGGCTTTTTCTGCACACTAGGAAAGCAGACCCAAGTTCAATTCAGTAACAACATTAAAATGAGACCACAACCACATTCTCTCTTCCTTTTGAGCTATTTATTTGTCTCTTCAAACTGCTTGCTATTGCCACAACTAGGTATAAATTAACCTGATAATACCACGAGGATACTGTAACCCGTATCCCAGGGCTTAACAGTATATCGCCAATCACTAGTCAGTGCTATTTCAGTAAACCAATGAGAATTCCTTACAGAAGACTTTGTATCAGCCCACTCCTTGTCCCCGACTTTTGCCTTTAAAAACATACTTGTGGGCCAGACATGGTGGCTCATGCCTATAATCCCAGCACTTTGGGAAGCTGAGGTAGGTGGACTACAAGGTCAGGAGATTGAGACCATCCTGGCCAACATGGTGAGACCCTGTCTCTACTATAATTGCAAAAATAGCTGGGCACAGTGGCTCACACCTGTAATCCTAGCACTTTGGGAGGCTTAGGCAGGCAGATCACCTGATCAGAAGTTTGAGACCAGCCTGGACAACATGGTGAAATCCCATCTCTACTAAAAATACAAAAATTGGCCAGTGTGGGGTGGTGGTGGGCACCTGTAATCCCATACTCAGGAGGCTGAAACCAGAGAATCACTTGATCCCAGGAGATGGAGGTTGCAGTGAGCCAAGATCATGCCACTGTACTCCAGCCTGGGCAACAGAGTGAGACTCTGTCTCAAAAAAAAAAAAAAAAGAAAAGAAAAAAAAAATGTGACTCATATCTGTAATCCCAGCATTTTGGGAGGCCAAGGCGGGCAGATTACAAGGTCAGGCGTGTGGGACCAGCCTGGCCAACATAGTGAAACCTGGTCTCTACTTAAAATACAAAAAAAAATAGTCAGATGTGATGGTGTGTGCCTGTAATCCCAGATATTCAGGAGGGCTGAGGCAGGAGAATTGCTTGAACCTGGGAGGTGGAGGTTACAGTGAACTGAGATCACACCCTGCACTCCAGCCTGGGTGACAGAGCAAGACTCCATCTCAAAAGAAAAAAAACAAAAACCTTGTAACAAAGGCCTAATAGAGCTCATATCCAAGGTTACTTGGGTCTGAGTCTTATGGACAGCTGTCTCGCTAGTAGTGAATCTAGTAACTTTATATTTTGTGACTCAGCCTCTTCCTTTTAGGTCAAGAATCTAGTAGAACTGATCACACTCTATTATCTAGTGACAATACACTTTCCTCTCTCTCTTCCCTTCTAAACGATATGTCTAATTCAGCTTCGCATTTCTGCCAGTGCCCAGCTGAGGGTTCAAGCTATAATAGCAGCCTTTTTTTTTTTTGAGACAGAGTCTCCCAGGCTGGAGTGCAGTGGCAAGGTCAGAGCTCACTGCAACCTCCACCTCCTGAGCTCAAGTGATCCTCCCACCTTAGCCTCCTGAATAGCTGGCACTACACCACCACGTTTGGCTAATTTTTGTATTTTTTGTAGAGATAGAATTTTGCCACATAGCCCAGGCTAGTCTCCAATTCCTGAGCTCAAGTGATCCACTGGCCTCAGCCTCCCAAAGAGCTGGGATTACAGATGTAAGCTACGACACCTGGCTGCAGGTAAATTTTATTGTTATAATAATGGCAGGAAGCAGACAAATCTTAGGCAGACAGGGACAGGTCCCCAATGAAAACAAACCTTCAA